ACGGAGCCACCCAGAGCCGCGTGGTCAGGTGGGCGCCTCCAGGAGGTGACGTCTGAGGCGGGGCTTGCAGGCTGGGATGGGGGCAGTAAAGACAGAGTTCCAGGTGGAGGGACAGGATGGTGCGTGCAGAGAGCCCCGGGGGCTCCGGGCGAGAGCTCAGTGTGTTCCCGGAATGGAGAGCTGCCGAGATGGGCTGGAGAGGTGGCCAGGGGCCTGGTCATGCGGACGAGACCTGGTGACCTTAGAGACCCGGTCTCCATGCTCAGGACCCTGCAGAAACATTCCCACACAGCTGCCCCAAACCTGGGTGGGCAGCCTAGCTTCGATGTAAGGGCTGACATTTGCAAAGTGCTTTTTTGTTATTCCTCCCACGAGGGTCCTCAAAATCCCCCGGGGAAGGGTGGACAGATGGCAGGGTAGCAGGGAGCTTCTAGTGGTTCAGTCCTGAGAAGTCGGTGGTCCCGTTGGGTCACACCGCCGGGAGCCGGCTGACCAGCCTCCTGGGTCGGGCCAAGTCACCCTGCACTGGCTTTCCCTGCCAGCTAGTGTGGGACGGTGCCTCGGGGAGGGCCCTGCCTCACCCGAGGCAGAGAGCAGCTTCCCAGCAGGAAATGGAGACGCTGCCATTCCCAGCAGGACCTTCCAGGGGAACTTCTACGCTTATTCTCCTTCTGAGCCACGGAGAGACTTGGGCACCAAGGGGCTACCCAGAGCCGATGATGATGGGAGGTGCCGGGGAAATGTCCTGTAAATGTCCTGCCCTGCCTGCCATGCACTGGAGGACACCAGCCCCAGTTCCTCATGAGGCATCTCCCGTCCTGCCGGGGACCTTTTGTTCTGCCCTCCCCCGGGGCCTCCTCCTGCCCCCACCCACCACCCTGCTGGGGTCTTCTGAGCCACAGCTACATACCACCCCAACCACATGGGAGCCAGCCAGGACTTGCAGGCCAGGCTGTGGCGGTGACCCTGGGTGTCTCAAGGAGCAGTTGGGTCCTGGCTGGGAGCCTTGGGGGCCACCAGCATCCACCCTCTCCTCGTGTTTGCAGGGCTTCTTAGGTCGAATTCATACCAGGTACTCCCCCAGCCCCAGGACAGGAGGGCACGATCACCTCCACTCTGCAAGGGAGGAAAGGGGACACCATCCACAGGAGATGGTGGAGCTGGCACTTGAACCCAGACCAGTGGAACTCCAGAATCTGGATTCCTCCCCCCGAATACCTGGGCCTCCCACCCCTTGGGGAGCTGCCCGGTGCGTCTGGGAGAAGCTGGGTGCTCGGGGTGGGCGTCTGAGCAGTGGGGCTGCTGGGAGCAGAGGGCCCCAGGGGGCTGTGAGAGGTGTGGGGTGGGGCTGGAGGGGCAATGGCCCCCAGTCTAGTCTGAGCCACTCTGGTCCTCAGTAACAGCCCCTAGTTTCTGCAAAGATGTGTTTGCAAATGTTTGTCTGTTGAATCACAGCATAACAGCCCCACTCACAGAGAGCTCAGCCCTACTGGGATGCCCCTGAGTGGCGCCAGACCTTCCCACTGTGTCAAGGGACATTTGTCACCTCCTGGCTTTGCCTGAAGCGAGGGGTGTCTATATATTGAAGTCTTCTTCACAGACAGACTGCCGGGCTCCCCTCCTGAATATTGGAGAAGACCCCTTGGGGGGAGAAGTCCCAGATGCACTGGGTGGGGGGTGAAGGCGGGTCTCTCCTCTCCCTGGATGACCCCCTCGTCCACCGCCCACAACTGCTCTCTTCCCTCTGTCCTCATCAGGACTCAGGCAATTGGATTCATTTGTGACCTCACTCCTTTTTGTGGCTCCCATCAGACTGGGACATCCCCAGGGGCAAGGGCTGTCTCCCCCATCAGATGGGGTTCTTGGGGGGAGCTAGGGCCAAGCCACGTGGTCAGCCCAGAGGCTTTCTGTCATCCCGGTCCCTTCCAACCATCAGTTTGGCCTGAGAAGAAGAGAGTCCATTCTCAAAGCACTCTGGGACGGTGGCCACAGGATTCGATTTCTGACCACTTGCCAGGACAAATAGCCTGGTTCCCCTGGAGCAGTGCCAGGATGGAGCTTGGGTCTGGCAACTCCCCGGGCTCGGTGCCCACCTGCAATCTGGTGCTCTTTGGGGATGGGGAGGGACCCAAAGCACGGCAACTGGGACATTTCCCAGGACACAAGTCTTCTTTGCAGGGCTAGCACACACTGCCTGCCCCTCGGGGGTTCGGTGCTTGTCACTCTCCTTTGCTTGGCCAAGCTATGGGACAGAATTAGCTCTCCACTCTCACTCTCAAGGCTCTCCAAGCAGCCAAACCATCCCAGGGAGAGAACAGAATGGGGCCTCCAGGGAATCTGCCCAAGGCTTTCCCCCCTGCTTCCTCTGGGAAAAGGTCCAGAAAAATACTGAACACATCCTGGATGATAGGAAAGGGTTGGGGTGGGACCAGACCCGGCCCTGCCCTGGCATCAGGAGAAGCCCCTGGGACTCTGGGAAGCTAAGAGGTCCCACCGCAGCTAAAACAGCAAGTCGGTTCTCAGTGGGCTCTGGGGAGGACTGGCTGGGCTTGGTCACTCCCAGTGTCCAATCAGACCCCAGGGATCCTTGCTGCATCCCTGGTCTGGAGGCCACATGCAATTTTATAAAAACCTCAGGAATCAAATCCTCTCCAAAATGTTGGCCCGGAGCCAGACCATGAGTGCAGAAATCCATCTGCTGCTCAAAGATGGTCAGAAAAATCAGGGCTTAGCAGACAGGACCCCTTCCTCATCTTCCCCATCTTTCCTACCCCCTGAGATGTGTATCTCCTGGGAAAGCCAGGGACAGGCACCTGCCCTGTGGACTCACAATGTTGTCCAGACACACCAAGGTGGGTGAAAGGTGGGCACAGTCATTCCAGAAGGATCCCTTTAGCAACCCACCTGCCACACACAGTTTGGTGGCACACGTCCTCAAGGACCAGAAGGACAGTGATGGATGTGTCCTGCCTTGCACCTCATCACTTGTCATTGTCTGGTGCTGTAGTAAGCAAGAGGCCTGCAGGTCAGGCAGAGCTGGGCTCAAATTCCAAAACTGGGCAAGCTGTTGTCCTGCCCTGCGCCTGTTTTCTCGCCTCTGAAACGGGCTTCATGATACCCCCTCCCGAAAGGCACCGGGAGGTAAGCGCCGGCAGCTGCCTCCTAAGGGCTCTGCTCAGCGCCTGGGGCGGGCCACTGAGAGCCTCGACGTCCCTGGCTCGTGGCTGGAAGCTACCCATCTACTTCCCTCCATCCCCGGCCTCCATTTCAATTTTTCCTTGTGACATCTTCTTCTGAGGCATGGCAGATTGTATTACAGGTTGAGTATCCCTTATCCAAATTGCCCGGGACTAGAAGTGTTTCAAATTTTGGATTGTTTTTGGATTTTGGAATATCTGCAGAATACACACCCCTAATTTGGAAATCTGCAATGCTCCAGTGAGCATTGCCTTTGAGCATCATGTTGGTTCTCAAAAAGTTTCAGATTCTGGAGCATTTCTGATTTTGGATTTTTGGATTAGGGGTGTTCAATCTGTATAGTTCAAAACGACTGCTCCCCCAGGAGGGATTGTATTTCCTGCTGCATCAGTGGCAGGCTTGACCACGTGACCTGCCCTGACCAATGAAATGTGAGCAGAAGTGACATGCACTGTTACCAGGCAGAAACCTCAGGAGCTAGTGCGTGGTTTGCCAGGTGGGTCCACCCCTGCCAGGGACGTCTCCCAGACGAGGCTATTGTGGCAGCCTGAGTTCCAGAGTGAAGACTACACAGAGCAGAGCTGTAGCCACCCTCGAAGGACAGGTAGCAAGAGTAAGATAGAAAGCTTCAGTGTCAGAAACCATTGAGATTTGGGGGTCCTATCCTGGCTACTGGAAGTCTTTAAAGTGGTCCCTGAGAGCTGTTTTTCGATCTTCAGCTGCTGTTAGGTGGTGTGGATAATTAAGAGTTAAAATGTTGTGCCTTGGGACTGGCAGCCACTGTGTAAGTGCTCAATAAACAGTGGATATAATCATGACGTGGCGTTTCTGCAGACCAGACTGACAAGTGCCTGAGCTGAGTGTCTAATCTTCCAGGTTGGGGGGGTTCACCTTGAGGTTTGTTAAGTACAGACTTTACTCAACTCTCAGGGAAGCTCCTCGATTGAGTCAGAGGCCTGTGACCTTCTCCTGCATCTCCCAGGAACCACTCCCTGCTCCCCTCCTCCCACCCTGTCCATGTCCCCCAACTGCAAGAGCTACGTGGATAAAGTCTATTTATATGAGATTGCATAATCTGCCTCTCCCCCACTGCCCAAGTTAGGCTTATTAATCTTGCTGCAGCAGGGGAGAACGCATACCAGAGGAACCCTGGGGCATCTCTCCACAGGTCTTTGGCTGTAAATGTCCCCATTGATTGAGCCCGTGCCAATCCCTCTGCATCCCAGACCTCTCCCTTCCCCTGCAATCAAATGTGACTGGAGGATCTGCAGAATCCCTTAGCACTGGCCTTGCTGTGATGAGTTGTCACTAAGTGTTTCTTGAGACTCGTGATCCTTTCTCAACCTGATTTTTGGCATCTTGTACCAGAGGCCTTCAGAGCTTTGGCATCTCAGCAACATTTCCCTCTCAGCACCAAGCACATGCTAGGTAGATAGTTGGTACTCCATAAAGACTTGTTCTGCTCTCCTAAGTTGGTGGCCTGGTGGCTGGTGGTGCCATGGTAGGACAGAGTGCAGCTCTAGCTGGGGCAGCTCTCTGCAGACTAGTTCATGATGGTCACAGCAGGGAAGCAAAGTGACCCTCCACCCATGGCTGTTGGGAAGGGCCTGGCAGAGCCTGCAGGGAACCAGGTACCTCTCTCTGCCCCAGGCCTGGGCTCCAATTTCTCTCCTGTTCTCTGCCCACTTCTCTTTTCCTGGCAGCTGCGGACCCTAAGCAGACCAATTCTGTCTCAAAGGATGGGGTTTTGTGGTTAGGCTTGGCCCCCTCCCAACTGCCCACCAAGGATATGAACAAAGGAACTCGTAAAAGCCGTATCTCTTTATTTTTCCTTCCTGCCGTTCAACCAGTTTGTGCAAGCTGAGGATGAGTGGGTTTTGGAGGGGAAGGTGGAGATCTGGGGGCAGACCCTCCTGGAATAGTCTACACACACTGCTGAGGCTGGTTAGACTTGAGAAGCAATTTAACAATAAACTCTACAGAATTAGAAATGTACAAAAGTGTCAAGGCGGCTGCTGGCTGGTTTATTGCCTCCTCACTGGGGTCAGAGTTGCACCCATCAGTCCTGTGCAAAGGTCCTGGAGCTGGCCTGGGAGGCAGCCAGATTCTTCCCTGGGGACAGGAGCAGTCCTGCTCATGCAGCAGAAGTGTGCCAAGGGACAGGCACGTGGGTGTGAGTCCAGGTGCCATGACCCCCTCAGGCTCTGTGGCTCCTCCAGCGTATCTCCGCGTCCTGCCTCTATGTCCGCCCTTTGAAAGTGTTCATGCAGGTGTAGGTTCCTGAGAATCTGTGGATCTCTTCGAGAGCAGCCTGTGGGAGTATGCTGGGGGAACAGGGAGGAAAAGAAGATGATCAGGGGGGAATGGGGTGGGGACCAGAGGCTGGGTCACTGGTGGCAAACAAGATAGAGTAGGAGAGTGATGGTTCAAGAAGTGGCTCTCCAAGCCACCCCCACCCTCCCCTCCCTGGAGGAAGGGCTTTCAAGTATGCTGATAAGCAGCTGTGTACAAGGTGAAGGGTGGGTGGTAGGAGCGGACTTTCAAAGCCACATTCTCAGCATCCTAGTGCCCACAGGTATCTCTGAGATCAATCAACTGCACCTGCCACTTACTCAACAAAGGTTGACTGTGTGGGACTGAGGAGTTAGGTACGTGTGGGTGTCATGTACTCCAGGGAGGAATGCCAGACTCAGCCTCAGGCCTCTCCTCAGTGCAACCCAGAGCCCCTGTGCTTCCCCAGCAAGCCCTGGTATTGTCCTTGCCTGTTTACTTGTTAAGCCTGTGGGTGCCTTTGCGCAGATATTTTATCTCTAATCCCCGGCCCCTAGTACAGGCCCAGCCCAGAGAGGGCCCTCTGTTGAATCAAACTGAAGGGCTCTGGCTCACTCTAGGTTCTCTGCTGCCAGAGCAATCTGGAAGGCTTCCTGGGGTTGGTGGCACTAGAGACGAGCATTTAAAGATGTCTGTCAGGGAAGGTGAAAAGGGCGCAGCACAGGGAATAGGGAGGAGGCGACCTCTGCTTCCTACGGGAGAGTAGTGGAGGATAGGACAGGAAAAGCTGGCTGGGGTGGAGAGTGCTGAGATGCTCTAGACAAATTAAGTTTTTTTCTAGAATGTTCTGGAAGGCTTCTAAGATGCTCCCCCAAGGTGCAGAGAGGCAGCCCAGCCCCTGCTGTCCTAGGGTCTCACTGAGGCAGCCAAGAAGCATCTCAGACTGATAGTTGGGATGGGCTGAGGGAGGCCAGATGTGGTCTGAATGCCCCCACTTGCCCTTTGGCAAAGAAAAGGCTGACTGACATTGTCCCCTCAGGTTCAAAGTTTCTGCCCATGGCTGGAGCAGCTCCTCAGCCAGTGCCCACTGTGTCCACAGCAGCCAGAGGGGAACCCGGTTTTTCTGGGAGTTACTGTCCAATAAAAGTGGGGGCCCACATGGCACTTGGGTGCTTCACTTTCTAAAAAGGCCTTCCAGGTCAGAAGGGGTCAATCAGGTAGGGCTGGGGGCTGGGGATGGCCACAACCCCAGAGGAGCAAAGAGCTCACGGTCACTTGCAATTCCAGGGATGAAGATCTCCCTGCTGTAGTAAGAGACCGATGAAAACTGCTTCCATGGCCCCTGTAATGGCCCCTTCAGTGTGGGGCTGGGATAGGAAGGCTTTGCTGCCCAAACTCTGGCAAGTTCTAGAGGAATATGATTCCGTGCAAATTCTGGAGGAGGCCTACTTCCTCTATGAAGCCTACCTCCCCGAGGTGGTCTGCCCTGGTAAATTCCACCTACTGGGACTAGGACAGTTCTCTGAATTCTGAGTCTTTGGCATGGAGATCTGTGCTTCCAACTAGATTAAACTTCCTGAGAGCTGGGGCTATGTCTTACAGCCACTAGGACAGTGGTTCGCAAAGTACAGCCCAGGAACCCTTGCGGGGGGTCCCTTCAGGGGTCTGTGAGGTCAAATGTCTTAGTATTATTACAAAAATACTGCTCGATCTCATGCCCGTGGCAGACGTGACTAATCAATCACACGAGCTTTCTCCCACCCCTGGGGAAGTGGTGGGCCTGAGCCTGGCACCGAGGTTCTCCCCAAGCCCGGTACCTCTTCAGGATAATGAGGGCGTGCATCGTCCACGGGAGCAGCAGGAGGGCCTGATTGAGCTGCACGGCTTCCACTGTCCTCCGGGCCACCGTCTCCGGCTTCAGCGGAGGGAAGAGGTTGGGAAACCTGGATGTGGGAAGAGACACAGTGGGTTTCTCCTAGAGAAGCACGTGCTTCCGCCAGGACCCCTTCTCTAAAACCCTCTGGGGCTCTGAGCGCACGTGGGCTCTCCTGACCCCTGGCACGATCGGCGCCCTGCCCGTTGCTGTGCCCCTCTTCCCTACTCACTCTGCTCCCGCAGTCCTGGCCAATCTTTTTCTGCTTGTCGTGTTACACTCTTCCCTGTGGGCTTTTTGCCAGCTGTCCCAGTGGCTGGGCTCACTCCTCCTGGCTCCTCCTCTGGGAGGCGGCTCGGCCCAGTCCACCCAAGTGGCCTCCGACCTCATGCCCCTGCAAATTTCCTTGACCACATTGGCTACATCTAAAATGGCCTTTCTTGTTTGGTTGTTTCCTTGTTAATGCACTGTCTCCCCCATCAGACTATGTGTTCCATGAGGGCAGAGGCCTGGTTGGTCTTGCTCCCTGGTGTATCCCCAGCATTTAGCACAGTGTCTGGTATGTAGTAGGTGCTCAATAAATCCCTGCTGAATGGATGGACACGGAATGATTTTTTTTTTTTTTTTTGCTGTTCCCCAAACGTGTCTTGCTCATCCTCCCTGGAGGCAGGGACCCTGCCGGGAATGCCCTTCTCTAACCAGCTTGCTGATTCAGTGACTCATTGGGTGATTGATCAATTGACTGATTGATTCATTCATTTGAACATTACACAGTGCTTTTCATGGGATTTCACAAATGAATGAATGAGTAAGCAAACATCAGGGGCTCCTCATGCCTATTTAGAGGCATCTTACCCTAGACCCATACAATGATGATGTTCCCTAAGTGCCAGGCCTGCACATTAATTATTCTCCCAATTTACAGATAAGCAAACTGAGTCTCCAGTGAGTCAGTGGGCACTACAGATACAAGCCAGGCCAATGCTGTATTGCCTTTGCTCACTGCTCTTTCTGTCCCTCCTGGGCCTGGAGGTGCAGGGCTGATGCTGCTGGCTCTGACCCCAATCCCTCAAAGGGCTTGTGATCCGCTCTGGCACCAGGAAGATTAAGGGTGATGAGTCACCCGGTCTGATGTCATTCCTGAGGAACAGACGACTTTTGGATTCCCAGCAGAGGCTTGCTTCAGAGGGCCCATGGACCTCACCCCCTGCCATGTACTTCCTCTGCTATCACGATGGTGATTCTAAGAGGCCCACAGCCCTGCAGTCCAAAGGCCAGCCTGCGGGGTTCTGCAGAGAAGAGTGCATGACGCAGCTCACTGATCTTGGAATGCTATAGATGTGGCGGACAGTTTGGCTTCTCTAGCCACCATCTGTGGCCAGCCCTGTTTCTTGGGGAAGGGAAGATAGGACAGGTAGACGAAGTTCCATGGGCTTGGGGGGTGTCCTTCCAGGTAAGACCCTTGCAGGAGAACTCAACAGAGGAAGCCTCAAGCACTTCTGCTGGAGGGATTTTTCTCCTTTCTCTCCACGGTGGGTGGGATGGGTATATGGGGAACTGGCAGAGCTATTAACTTCCATGGAGGCAGCACAAACTCATGGAAAAAGCCTGCTCAGCTTGCCAATTTCAGCTGTGTGGCCTTGGGCAAGTAACTTTGCTTCTCTGGGCCTCATTCCCTCATCTGTAAAATGGGGATAAGAGTTCTCTTGAAGGGTTGCAATAACGGCCAAATGCAGCAGCGTCTGTTAAGTGTCTGGTGGTGTGGCCGGAACAAAGAAGAGGCTCAAAAAATAGTGATTTACAAACAACGGCACCCACCAACGTGGCCAGTCTGGCTGGGAAACCCATCGAGTTTGTCCTAAATATGTCTCCCACCTTTAACCCTGGGAAGCTGCTAAGCACAGATGCAGAGGAAACCAGCACTTTTATTCATTTTTTTTTCTTTCCAGAAATAGGAGTGGGTTAAGCACTGATCTTCTTTGTGTCACTCTTCTGGCCAAGCCCTCTGGGCTCACCTGCACAACCACAGGTAACTAACACTCACCTAGTGCTCACTACTGGCCAGGCACGGCTAGTCGATTTACACACAGGGGCCCATCCAACCTGTGAAGTAGCGGGAACTATTATTAATCCCTTTTTATAGATGCGAAAACTAAGGCACAGAAAAGTTATGTAACTTGCCCAAAGTCACACAGAGCTTGGATTTAAGCCCAGGCAGTTTGGATCCACACACTGAACCACTATGGAAAAACGACTCAGGAAACCTTAAACTTTCTTCTCAAAGTGGTGGAGAGAAAACTATAATAGCAGGTGAAATAGACACACGAATGTGATGTCTGTGAACATCCTTCCCACTTCTGGGCTCAGAGCACCCAATTAAAACTATGGATTGCCACTGATGCACTTATGTCCAATATGCATTTATTGAGCACCTCTTGTATACTCAGATGAAAAGAAACCAAGTTATCACGGAGAGGAAAGCCAACATGGACCATTAATAGTCATTAGTCCAGCCTCCTCTAAATTCAGAATTTATGATAATTTGCTCACAAGCCAGGTGGAAATATACACTTCTGTGACAAACACTGAAGATATGGTCTGCTAGGAAAATTAATAACGTATGTATTTATAAAGATGTTTATTGTTAGTAAAAATAATTACAGCAGCAGCTCTTCACTGAGCATCAAGTGTGTCCTGAGCTTTGCACTAGATGTGTTACACATATTATTTCTTTTTTTTTTTTTTTTTCCTTTTTGTCTTTCTTCGTGACTGGCAACGGACTGCAACCCTCAGTGTCGCGCCCGTACTGGACCGGGACCGGCAACGGGATTGCAACCCTCGGTGTTGCGCCCGCACCTTGCTCAGCCAGTGAGCGGCCGGTCTGTATGTGGGATCCGAACCCTCGGCGGGAGCGCCACCGCACCCAAGCGGTGCACTGCAGCAGTGTGCCACCGGGCCGGCCCTACACATATTATTTCTAATTCACCCAATAATCCTACAAGGAAAATATTATTTCCACTGTTTTACAGATAAGCAAAGTAAAGCTCAGAGAGGTAACAAACCTAGCCCCAAGTTTCCCAACTGAAGAGTAGCTGAGGTGTGATTCAAAACCAGGTATTTTTGATTCTTGATCACCGTAGCCACACTGTCCCTACTAATAATAACTAAGGCGCACTGGGCGATTCCCACGTGGCATGCACGATGCAAAACTGTGTCATTTAATTCTCATGATGACCCTTCCCTGTCACCTGGAAGAAGCTGAAGCATATAATTCAGAAGCATCATATGCTGGATTTCAAAAAACAAGGGGAAACCATTTTTGGATAAACGAAATTCCCAGATTTCATTTATCTATAACCTTATGGCTCCACATGACCGCACATCACTATAGCGCTGTTTATAGGGTATTTAATACATAGCACATAGTGTTCTGTGCCAGATCCCACTTTTTTATCCTCGCCACAGAGCCTAAGACATAGACATTGTCGTCGCCCCATTTTACAGATCAGCAAGGAAGGCCCGTGCAGTCACTAATTGGACCCCACACCACAGCTACAGGGTAGTCGCCACCCCAGTGCCTGATTCCCAGGCATGAGCTCTAAAGCAGAGGTCTCCACTCCCCTTGGTTTAATCAGTTTGGGGGAGGAGTGGTTGGGCCTCAGCATTTCTTTAAATTGAGCTTGAATTTGCATATAACAAAAGTCATAAATCTTACGTGTACACCTTGATTAACTTTCTCCCGTTTAACCACCACCCAGATCAAAAAGAGAGAACTTTTCTAAAAGCCTAGAGAGTTCCCTCGGGCTCCCTCTCAGGATATATGCCCACCCCTCCAGGCTGATTTCTGTGTCCATTGCCCAGTTGTGCCTGTTCTAGAACTTCGCACAGAGTCCTGCAGAAGGTGCTCTTTCCTCTCTGTCTTCTTTCGCTCTGAGTAATGTAATGTGTCTGAAACTCAGCCTTGCTGCTCAGGTATCAGCACGCTGTCCTCTTTTTATTGCTGGGCAGTATTCCACTTGGTGCATTTAGCACTGGTATTCGGTACAGCTCCCTGAACTGAGAAGCGGGACCCTAACCCACTGCCTTGCAGATGGAAAATCAGATATGACAGCGCCAAGCCAAAGTAAAGAGCTTCTGGGGTATTTTTATACTGTAGCTGTCCCTGTGCAGTTGACCGGCTGGGCTCGGCTTGAGGGAGGCCAGTCCCCATCACTGACCTGACCCTCATGCCCTGGAACATCTCAGTGCTGGTGTGGAAGGGCAGGACGGTGGTGGCGCTGACGCCCGGACAGTCCAGCAGCCCCAGGGTCAGGCTCTCCATGAAGGCGAAGGCTGATGCTTTGGACGTGCAGTAGTCGATGGCGCCGGGGATGGCGGACAGCGCCAGCACAGAGTTGAGGCACACGATGTGGCCGTTCTGCAGCTCTAGCATGCGTGGCAAGAAGGCCTTGGTGGTCTGAGGGCAAATGGGGGTCAGTGAGGAGCGGCCGCAGCTTTGCCAACCCTCTACCCCTCTCTCAGAGAGAACAGCCCACCCTGGACACACAGGCTACTCCAGGACTGAGCCCTCCTGCGAGGGTGAGGCCCAGGGCTCCCAACTGCAGGACACGGAGCACACGTTCCAGAAAGTCCGATGGCTCCTAAGGGCAGTCATCCCTCTTGTCCAGCCACCTTGTCCTGGGACATCCCCACTGGCCTGAGCCCAAGCCCTGGGGTGCCTCTCCCTCCACCTGCACCCAGCGGGCTCCCTGCCACACCCAGGGCTGGCCCAGGCCCAGGACGGCCCTTACCCAGAACTGGCCCAGGGTGTTGATGTGCTGGGACTTGAGGAGGGCATCATCGTCACTGTCCATCAGGCTCTTCCCATGGACCACGGCGGCGTTGTTCACCAGGATGGTGATGTCACCCACCTGCGGGTGAGAGGGGGCCGCAGGCCTGTGAGGGCGGCCAGCCCTGGTGGCCTACACCTGCAGGGTGTGGTCCTGGCCCACTCCCCCCAGCGCTGGCCATGTGGCCTCGGGGTGCCATGTTGCCTCTCTGAGCATCAATCTTGATCTGTAAGACATGGCTAATGCTATAATAGGGTTGTTCTGAGGGGGAGAAATAATTTATGGCACATAATATACCTGGCAGATTGCACATTTATAATAAATGAAGTTACTGTATGTAAACATAGTTAACATTACCATGTGCCAGATACTTAACAGGGTGTTTTTGTTCTCTTGGAGTTCACTGATATACTCAGTCCAAATAAATGGCTGGAGTCAGAGGGCAATGGGACATTTGCCCCCCAGGATCTTAGAAACCCACAGTCTAAATGTCCAAGGAGATAATAGATAACTACCCCTGTTATAATCGTTCCTAATCCCTGCCCATGGAACTCAGGCCAGCTTCACAGGAGAGTCTCCGAAAGTGCCCTGGACAAAGCCATTCTGCCATAAGCAAGGCTCCCTCCCAGTCCATGGGGGAATGTTCTCTCCGCCTGGCATTACCCTGTATTCAGCCACGCGGAGGACAGACACACCTCCCATCAGGGTACTGACCTTTTCACGGACAGCTTTGGCCGTCTGGTACACCTCCTCCCGGTTGCCCACGTCGCAGATGAAGTAGTGACACTCGGTGCCCATCTGCCGAATCTCCTCCGTCGTCTCCTTCAGGCATTTCTCAGTCCGGCCCCAGAGAACAATCTGGAAGGAGAGAATAACATCACTGCAGCGGTCATTAAGCAAGCCACAGTGATATACTGATTGCCATCAGAAATTCAGTATTTAAAGTAATTTGTCTTTGAATTACTGGCTTCCCTGATTCCACCCAAAGATAAAGCATCCAAAGCAAATTAACAATATAATTTTTAAAAAGGGGACAGAGCTTACTCTTAAGTGAACCAGTAGTTTCTGAGCCCTTTTATGATCAATGAGTGGATGTGTTATTTACAAGTCTTTCTCATATATTCCTTCCAGCGGGATGCCTCCTGCCAGCCCAATCCCAGTTATCCCACATACACAGAAGCAGTAGCAGGAGCTCTTTCTGTATAATGTTCCAGAATGCTCTCAGGTAGGAATCAGCTGGCCTTCTCACCAGTTAGGTCCAGAGCCAGGATTAGAATGGACTGGGAGGTCCTGGCCTAGAGGTGCACAGACACTAAGCCTGGGAAGGAGGCAAGAAAGGTGAGGCTCCTGCTGAGAAGGAAAGGCTGCCTCGCCCAGCAGGTAATTACAGGTAATTACAGCGCAGACTCATTACACCAGGAGGTGACCTTGGCAGGACCAAAACGTGGATTCTTTAAGGGTTTGGACAAATTTATGAATGGCTGGCCCGTGAAAGGATCAGGAGAGAAGCCTGGCTAATTCTCACCTCGACCTACAGGAGGATGACGCACCTCCCCATGACACATTGTTGGTGGGTCCAGAGTGGCCAACAGAGCCCAGGGTCGGGTGACCGGGGGAACAACAACCCTAACTAGGACTCAGCTTCATCAGCACAGAGGGGGAGAGGCTGCAGCCGCCAGCGCTCAGGGCAGGGCAGAGAAAGGAAGGGCTGAAAAGCTTCTGGGGGATTAGTCCACTGGGTTTCTTGTTTGTTTCTTTTCTTTTAAAATTATCAATGAAATTCCCCCTTAAAAAAAAAATAACCCAATGTCTGAAGCCAATAAAAGGAGTAAATTGTATGTCCAACTCCAAAGGCTCCTAACAAGAACAAAACGGCTACTTTGGGAAGGCAAACATTTTATTTTTTTTTTTATTTTTATTTTTTTTGTCTTTTGTCTTTTTCCGTGTCCAGCAACGGATTGCAACCCTCAGTGTTGCCCCCGTACCGGACCGGGGACCGGCAACGGGATCGCAACCCTCGGCGCTGCTCCCGCGCCTCGCTCAGCCAGTGAGCGGGAACCGGTCTGTATGTGGGATCCGAACCCTCGGGCGGGAGCGCCACCGCGCTTCCCAAGCGGCACACCATCCAGTGCACCACCGGGCCGGCCCAAGGCAAACATTTTAAACTTGGGTACAGATGGTGGCTCCAACCACCCAAGTCCAGAATCCAATTGATTTCTCTGTTTTGCTTGGTTCCATGATATAGAGAAAAGTCATACAGATAAGGAGCTGCTAATGGTAACAGTCCATCAGCTGCTTACTTTGAAATCTCAGAACTCTCACTTAAGCAGAAAGGACACAAAACGGGTTTAGCTGGGGGACACACAGATGTTCTGGTGATCTCCAACAGATTTGAGTTTTAAAACTTTAAAAATGTTTTTTTACAATAAAAGTGTTCTCTCTACCCCTAAAACATCTCTGGGAAACCTAGTTTGAAAACCCCACTTGGTTCAACCACTTTATTTATTTTAATTGAAGTCGTGAAATACAGAAATTCTTTTACAAGGGAGGATTCCATCCACTGCTCTCCACGACCACAAAAGTCCATCAGGGCAAACGGACTGCGATTAGGCTCCCGGGGACCATGCTCATTTGCTGAACTAAAAACAGCCCCAGAATGTGGCCCTCCAGGGGAGGCTGGGAGGTGCGATTCATGGAGAAGAAAAAAGACAACCATTTCTTCCATGAAGGCAGTTTGGTGTTGATTTCCTCTACTCCAGGACCCCACTCTTGCCTTGAAGCCATTGTCACCCACCTATCACTAACCCACCCACCTACCATCCATCCATCCATCCATCCATCCATCCATCCATCCATCCATCCATCCATCCATCCATCCATCCATCCATCCATCCATCCATCCATCCATCCATCCATCCATCCATCCATCCATCCATCCATCCATCCATCCATCCATCCATCCATCCATCCATCCATCCATCCATCCATCCATCCATCCATCCATCCATCCATCCATCCATCCATCCATCCATCCATCCATCCATCCATCCATCCATCCATCCATCCATCCATCCATCCATCCATCCATCCATCCATCCATCCATCCATCCATCCATCCATCCATCCATCCATCCATCCATCCATCCATCCATCCATCCATCCATCCATCCATCCATCCATCCATCCATCCATCCATCCATCCATCCATCCATCCATCCATCCAGTTTCTGCATGTCAGTCTGAGGTGAAGGTAATACCTGGCCTCCTTTCTGCTGCTCTGGTCCCTGCCTAACCCATCCCACCTCTGGCTCACATGGGTAACAGGACCACAGGGCTTTCCTGGGGTCTGGCTGGGGCAGAGAGAGGTGCCTCTGGGGACCCTAAGAATTCTGGACATGCCAAAAGAGAGGAAAAGCTTAAAGCTGGGGGGCTTATTGGAAGGTACAGGGGCCCATATGCCTGGGAGGACAAGGGATTGCCTCTGAGGGGTCTGAAGCAGCGGTCCAGGTGGGGTGCCTGTCACCCTGGGAACCCTGGGGTTGCTTCTCGGCACAAACGGGTGTGCACGGGCTTCCATTAGAAGGGGCCTATGTGCTCCCTGGCCCCACATGAATTAACTCTTTCTGGCCCCCTGGTTCTTGGGGAGGGCGAGGAGGGCAGGGGTCTAAAGTTTCCCACAGTCTGACCAGGAAACCTGCAGTCAGGAAACTAGAGATCAGTCCTGACTACTTGGCTGCAAGACCACCCTGAAAAGGGAAGTGGGCCGGGGTAAGGAGATGAGACGAAGGCTTGAGCCCCCTGCCTTCCATGGGGAGGGAAGGACAGCCAGGCAGGGCCCCGAGGTTTGGCCGTTCCCTTTTGAGGGTCTGCTGAGGATGCCCCTGGTGGCTGGGGGGGGGGGTGTCCCACCCTCCCTAGGCACCGTGACAGGTTTGCCTTTCTCCCTCCCTAACCCTCCCCACTCCATTGGGCGGGGATCCCCCTAAGTGCCCCAGTTATGTCTTGCTCATTGTCCTATCCCAGTGCCCGCACGGCATATGACATTTGTTGAACGAATGAATGAAAGTTCCGGGCCACAGGGGGGACAGGTGGGAAGTGGTCAGACCAACTCTCTAGGCTGAGAGTCCACCATCCTCCTTGACTGAGCCATTGAGGGCCCCAGAACCTCTAACACAGGAGTCTACTCGGACCAAGAGTCAGTGAGACCCGGGTCTCCCCAGAGCATGGACGTCATCCTGGGGCTGCACGGGGAGGGAAGAAGGGGAGGGGAAGGGAGGGGAGGAGCCCTGGGAGCTGGAGCCCCCCAGGGGCCGCAGGGCTCAGTCTCAGCCGAGAAGGAGACTCAGGCTGGTGCGTGCCTGCCTCGCTGAGAGTGTCTCTGTGTGTGTGTTTGAGTGTCTCTTTGTGTGTGTGTCTGTGAGTGTCTCCGTGTGTGTCTGTGAATGTCTCTGTGAGTGTCTGTGAGTGTCTCTGAGTGTGTGTCTGTGTCTCCGTGTGTGTCTGTGAGTGTCTCTGTGTGTGTCTGTCTCTGTGTGTCTGTGAGTGTCTTTGTGTGTGTCTGTGTCTCTGTGTGTCTGTGTCTCTGTGTGTCTGTGTCTCTGTGTATGTCTGTGGGTGTCTCTGTGTGTCTGTTGAGTGTCTCTTTGTGTGTGTTTTTGGGTGTCTCTTAGTGTCTCTGTGTGTGTCTGTGAGTGTCTCCGTGTGTGTCTGTGAGTGTCTCTGTGTGTGTCTATGAGTGTCTCTGTGTCTGTGAGTGCCTCCGTGTGTGTCTGTGTCTCTGTGTGTCTGTGAGTGTCTCTGTGTGTCTGTTGAGTGTCTCTTTGTGTGTATTTTTGGGTATCTCTTAGTGTCTCTGTGTGTGTGTGTTTGTGAGTGTCTCTGTGTGTGTATCTGTGGGTGTCTCTGTGTGTGTGTCTGTGGGTGTCTCTGTGTGTCTCTATGTGTGTGTCTGTGAGTATCTCTGTGTGTGTGTCTGTGAGTGTCTCTGTGTGTGTGTCTGTCTCTGTGTGTGTGTCTGTGTCTCTGTGTGTCTGTTGAGAGTCTCTTTGTGTGTGTTTTTGGGTGTCTCTTAGTGTCTCTGTGTGTGTGTCTGTGTGTGTGTCTGTGGGTGTCTCTGTGTGTCTGTGAGTGTGTGTCTATGAGTGTCTCTGTGCGTGTGCCTGTGACAGTGCACGGCTTTGTGTGTTGCTGAATGTTGCCTCAGTTCTTTAGTGGATTTCTGGGGAACTGGGGTGGGCACCTTCGTCTTAGGGATGGCTGTTTCCCTGGTGGCTGGAGGCTGGCCCATGGGATGGTAGAGCGGGAGAGACTGGAGTGGACAGAAACGGGACTCTTTGGTGGGCAGGTGCTGCCGGGGTTGAGCTGCTCCAGCCACTGTCCCTGCCTGGCCCCCCTCAGTCCCCTGCCCAGACTCCTCTGGGGAATCTGAGTCACTCACCAGGAAACTGGCAGGTACAGCTCAGCAGGCCCGCCCAGATGGCTCCTGCCTAGAATCACCTGGGGGTGACCCAGCCAGCTGACAGGACAAGAGTCCTGCCCAGTACCAAACGGCAGGAGCAGGAGCCTGAAGGAGCCCAGGGAGCGGGCAGAGTTACGAGTCCTTGGAACCCAACACGGGTTCCTCTTGGTGAACTCCCAAGACAGGAGCAGCTGGGCAGGGTCTGCGGCGGGATTTACTCCTAAGCTGGGTTTATAAAATAAGGGCTTGACACCTCCTAGCCTCCGCTCCCCTCCAGGGCAATGGCTAGCTTCTGTCCCCTTCCCCCTCCTTGTGACTGGCGAGGAGGAGGGATGCAGGGAAGGACCTCTAGCCTCCGGGGCGCTGGGTCCCCACTGGCTGCCCCGCCCGGCCAGGCCTC